AATAAACCCACCCCAGGCTGTTGAAGGTTGAAGGGTCGCGTTGTGCAGACAGCGGCGGGCTAGAAAGCCTGCCCTGGACACCTGCCCTCTGGCTTCCCAGAGGTCTCTGCCTTGCCCTGAAATTGGGGCTTCCCAGCTCAGCCCTCTCCTGCAAAGGCGGTGGTGGCCTGCGGGGCCACATCCCCTAATACCAAGCCCAGGAAGAGGAAAAGAGACACAGCAGCATCACCAGCGCTCCATTAGAAGTTAAAAATAAGACACATATAAACAGATTCTAAAACACTTCACAGCGTCGCTGGGCACAGCCATGCCAGGAACAGATGGCTCTGTGGAAACAGCTGTGTCCCAGAGAAACCCGAGAGCAAAACCAGGATGCGTTACTGTGCTCACGTGCGGGCCACATGTCCCCTGCCCACTCCACATGGCAGGCAGGGCCAGCGCCCTGGACAGGCCGCGGGCGGCCCGAGCCTGGAGGAACGCGTGTTTGGGGAGGAGGCGGGAGGGGTGGGGGAGAGCCCAGGGCAGGTCCTCATGGCTGGTGGCCCCGGCTGCTTGCTTCTGTCCTGCTCCAGAACGGCCACCTCCCGCTTGCACCCGTCTCTTGCCATGTGCCGCCTCCTGCGTGCCTGTACGTGCCTCCCTGCCTCTCCCGCTGTTGGCTGAATCTTCTCCCCTAAGTAGCTTCTCTTGTGAGTGACATCAGGGGCACCCCTCAAGCCAGGCTGCCTCTTTAAAGTCACAGGATGGCCAGCTATGGGATTTCAGGTTCTTCGCGTCACCCCTCTGTGCCTCCCTTTCCTCATCTGTAAAATGGGAATCATCAGCCCTACCGTGTGGGCTTCCTGAGGACAAATAAGGAAAGGCAGGCCAGGTCATTTCAGTGTGGAGCGTGACCCCCCTTGGTTTGCATTATGATGGCACGCTGTTTGAAATGTATACCTGTTCCCTGTACCCCCAGACTATATAAATATTTACGTACAGAAAGTGGAATTCATTTCTCACTCATAGCACAGGGCTCAGCCAAGACAGGTGCCAGCCTAGTCGTCATGTAAGACCTAGGAATTAAGGCTGAGACCCGGCAGGGAGGAGAGAGGCCTTTTCCTTTATTTCTTTGGTGCCTGGACAGACCCTCCCAGAACCTTCACCAAACAGCTCATATCTCCTGCCTCTTCCCCTCCCTGAAAAGAATCAACAAGGCCCATGATTTGGTTTCCAGAGCAAAAAATATTTGGGTTTCCTGGAACACTGTTGATTAATACACACAGCAGGGAGCCAGGAATCGCTCTCTGCCTGTCTGTGTGGTTTAATAATACTTCACCTGTTCACCAAAACCGCAGAGAGAAGAGCCCTGCCGTAGGCTTCGGGGGGGTGTGACGCCCCCCACTTTCTGGGCAAAGTCCTGGTGCCCAATGTTCTCTATAATAGAGGCAGTAAGAGCAGCCCTGCCTGCCTTGGACAGCTGTTGAGAGAAACAGTAGTGGACATGAGAGCCGCTGAAAATTAAATTGAAAGTCGGAAGCAACATTCTAGTGTTATTTCACTCCCCTCGGTGTCTCCACCCTGTGCCAACGCACGGAGGGAGAGGTGTCCCAAGAAGAAATGGGTGACCTCACAGACTCCTCAGTTGGTAACTGTCTTTATCACTCACCGGCCTCAAGAGTTCTAGTGGGCACGTTAGTGAGGGTGATGGCTATCAGTGGGCTCCATATGCTGGAAGTTCCTGCTCGCTCTGAGTCCAGATGAGTGCTGCTGACTGGCAAGCGACTTTTCTCCAGCTACAGGGACCCCGGCTCCTTCCATCTTGTGGCTGTGCCATCCATGGAATCTTCCATTCCTCTATGGGATTCTCTTGTTCTGGTGAACTGAGAAGGGATTATGCACAAGCCAATGCACAAGCATTGGTGTCTGCAATGGCCAGCATCTGTCCACATTCTGCTGATCAAAACTCAGCCCTACAGTTGTCCTTGACTATAGAAAGGTTGTGAACACGGCTGGGCTGTGCACCCAGGAAGCAGGGGTATTCTTGAGGAGAACGTGATACTGGTGAACACAGTTCTGGACCTGCATGGGAGATACATGCACTGTCCTCTACAGGCACAGAACCCCCAGAGTTGGATGTAGATAACCCCCACCTACCCCACCCCGCCCAAGAGATGGATGAACACACTTTGTAGCAACTGGAGCTCTGAAGAAATACACTTACCTGGGTTTGAATCTCAGCTGCAACCATACACCCATCATGGCCTTGAGCGAGGTCTAAACCTTCCAGATGACGAACATCATCTTCTGTTCACAAGGTGCAGAGTCCCTAAGCCATGGAGACACTCCGAGTACTAAATGAGAAAGCTCCAGCTGGCTAGCTGGCTAGTGAGCACATGACCCTTGAGTTATTTCATAAAGCCCAACTCCTTGTCTCACTGTTGGGAGAAATGACTTGCTCAAGGTCACAGAGAATGAATGTCAGAGAGATGCAGTGTCTGTTTACCTCCCTCACCTCTTGGTGGCTTTCCTGACTTTGAACAGAGCCCGCACTTCAATCCCCATGCATCTTAGACATGACCAGCCATCCTCTCTGGCAACTCAGAGGTCGATCTAGGCTGCTGTCCTTAAGGATGGGAAGAAATAAATGCAAACTGCTTGAAGGGCCATTTTCCCCTGAGCCCAGATCTCCCTGTGTCTCAGCTGGCTGCCCAGAGAAGCAATTTAGCAAGTGCATTTGATCTCAGGAGAAATCTGTCTTTTGTTTCTGTGACTTGCTTGTCAGGCGCCACCCCCCCCCCCGCACCCCCCCTCTCTTCCACCCCCAACCCCGTGGCTACAGTGTGGACCTCAGTAGCAAGCCCTGGTCATGAAAGCCCACCCTGCAGCCATGCATCTCCCTGGAGAAATAACCAGCACCCTGGGGGGAAGGAGGCAGTGTTTAAGCTGCTCTCCTCTTTCCCTTGAGATAACATCAGCCTAATAGCAGCCCTAGATTAGAATTTGAAAAAGGTACATGATGGAATCATAATAACCTTGCTGAGGTTTGTGTAGCACTTTACAGTTTACAAAGAACTTTTTACCTGCATTAGCTCATTTGAGAAAATTGCAGGAAATTAGTTAACTACAGGAAAGTATAAAGAAGCCAATAAAATTCATCTGAAATCCACCACTCAGAGAAAAGCTTTGTTAACACTGTAATGTGTTTCCCGTGGTCCGTTTTCTACATGGTGGTGATGGTGTTGTGGCTTGTGGGTTTGTCTTTGCTGCGTTGGGGTCCTACCTCGTGGGCATTTTTATGTCCTCCCTTGTTCATAGAGCATTGTAATCTTCCACCATCGCATTTGATCCTCACACCCACCCCCTGGGAGAGAAGTAATTGTGTTATGAACAGGCAGGCCCCTGGTTTGTGTCCGAAGTCTGGATTCTCGTTCCAGGCTGCTTCTCTATAACTGGCTGATTACTGGAGCCTGAACCGCAATTTCCTCTTTTGTGAAACAGAGATGTGTGCGGACGGATTAAATGAACAAGGCCCTGCGCCTGAATCACGCAGCACCATGCCTGCACACAGTAGGCACGCAGGCCGTGCCAGCTGAGCGGAGGTGCATGCCACCATGGTGACCGTAAATGAAGTGCTGGCCCTCAGGAAGGCCCTTGCAGTTTTGTGAGGTCACGTGAGAAAGGGGAAGGCTCTGGGGAGGGGTGAAGAATGAAAGCAATTCATGCAGCCTTGTGCCATAGGGCACATTGGAGAGAAAATGCCAGGCTCCTTCTGTGGTATAATCAGTGGGGTGAGCTGATACAGGATAGGGTAGAAGTGAGTCAACATATGTTCTTGTTGATTATACTGATTAGAGATGTAAAAGACATATATTATGTGAGAGTGTGTGTGCATAGGTATATATGGAGACCTTTATTCTTGGAAGGATGTGCATTTCACTCAGCCAGGCTAATAACTCCAGCCACGTGAACTTCAGTCTGTATTCAACGATACAGCAGTGGTTCTTGCAGGAGAAGTAGTAGAGCCAGCTGTGCAAACTCTGGCAAATCACTATATATATTTTTTAAAGTTTTAGAGAAATAGATTTCACATATGATAAACAGACCCACCTTCAGTGCGCACGTGTTGAATGATCACAAAGATGCACACCCAGGTAACCATCACTCTGATGGTGATGTAGAACATTCCAAAGCTCCCCCTGCCTCCTCCCAACCCACTGACCCCAGCTCCCACATCCTCCAACCTAACTTCTACCTCCGCCAGAGTTCTTTGCTTCTCTTGCAATTCTCCATCTGTAAAACAGGCGTGGGCACACCTGGCAGGCAGGCTTGGCAGGGTTCTACACGAGACAGTTTCATGCCAGGCAGCTGCGCATCTGCACGTCGGGGACACCTGCGTATCTGCAGCTGCTCACGTCAAATGCTAAGCCCCTCTTAGCAGGTTCACCGTCCACCGTTCGCTAGCTGAGGAGCAAAGGCTAAGGGAGCTCAGTAGAGGACTCTCCGAATAGGTTAATAAAATCAGACTTTCAGACAGTTGGGAAGATGCTAAGAGAGCAAAGAGGAGAGTGAAACGCCTCAAATGCAGATGAAATGGAAGGAAATTGCTTGCTGTTTCGCTTATGCGTTTGCTGGGTTTCCTCCCGGCCCGAGGTGCCGACCCTTAGTCCAGAGCGCAAGAGAGCGGAGCTCACAGAGGCCCTCTGTAGCCTCTCAGGGCCCCCTTCTTCGACTTTCACGGTGTCCTTTGAAAGGGGATGCGAGTTCATCCAGGGGTGGATGGCTGGTTTAGGCATTGATGTTCCCGTTCTCACCTGGGAGGGTCTTGTTCTCAGCGGCGAGAGCAGCTGCTCCCTGGCGCCCTCCTCGCATTGGCAATGCGAGGAAATTGTAGCAGGAGAGGAAGCCGGGACCTGTCCTGCCTTTGACCCACCCACGGTGTCCCCTGGGTCATACACGCAGGAGGGCAGGGCACCAGGCCGGCTCCTTCTTGTTCCCAAGCATCCGCTCCTCCCTTGCAGCTCCAGAAGCAGCTCTCCGAGCTGGACGAGGACGACCTGTGCTATGAATTCCGGCGAGAGCGGTTCACCGTCCACCGAACGCACCTGTACTTCCTGCACTACGAGTATGAGCCGGCTTCCGACAGCACGGACGTCACCCTGGTGGCTCAGCTCTCCATGGACAGGTATGGAGGCACCCCCTAACCCCGCCCCAGCCCCTGCGCCGCTGGCGGCCCCACAGGTGGGAAGGAGCCTCGGTCTGGGGGCCCAGCTCACAGAAACCTCTGAAAACCAAGCACCTCATCTCCGGGTGGTGGCAGTAATGGTAGTTTTGAGAATGAAGGGAAGGATTGATTCCCAGATGTAAGTCAATGCAAAGCATCCAGACGAAAGGAGGCGCATTATTGTGGAACACGGCTGAACCCACAGCCGCCGCTGGTAAGCAGTTGCTGTCTCATTCCTTTCGCGTGTGGATGAAACAAATGTCACCCAGCCTTTACCACGCGTGACCGACGTGACCCCAGCCCTAGCACCTTACAGCCTAATGTGTGGGTGCTCAAGCTTGACTGCGGACAATTTGAGTCATCTGAGTTTTTGAAACGGATTCATGACCAGACTCCACAACAGCCCAGAGCAGCAAGCACCTTGGTGGAGAGACTTGCACTGTTTAAAGTTTACAAGATGTAGCCAGGTTGAGAACAGAGAGCAAGTGGTCTAAACGACAACAAACTACCCATGAAAAGGCTGACAGTGGTGTAAGTGCTTTGGAGAAACTGGGGGAGTCATAAGGTGTGAAGTGACAGCCCTCCAGTGCTGTGGCAGGGGACGTCTGTCTAGGGAGGGGATGTTGCAATAGAGACCGAAAGGGTAAGGAATCTAGTGTGCCAGTGGGGAAGAAAAGAGTTTTCCAGGCTGCTGATACAGCAAGTGCAAAGGCCCTGTGGTCGGAAGAGCCTTGCATTTCCTATTCTGTACTAATAGAAGACTAGCAGAGCTGACACACAGTAGGGAACTAAGGACACTGACATGATAGAACCTTAGACACAGAAAATATTGGGCTTTATGGTAGGTGTTTTAAGTTACGGAAGGAATTAAAGCTATACGATCTAATTTGTGTTTATGTGGCGACCTGGATGCAAATGGGTTCAAAGACCCAAGGCACTTACTGTTACACCGTTTTCTGTACCTGACTGTCCACCTCCACTGACAGCTTCCTCCTCCCCGGACTCAGGGCTACGGTGGCTGACCAGGCCCCGCTGTCCCTCGGGGCAGCCCCGCAGTGCAGGGAAGGAGTTTGATTACCCAGCTGCATGGGCGCCTCACCGAGATGCCAGTGCAGCCAGAGGGTGAGATTCCATGGGATTGTGTTCAGCATGAAATGAGTTAACACCTGCAAAATGCTGAGAACAGTACCTGGCACACTTCTTAGGTGTTCAGTAAATGTCACTTGTTATTAGTCTTGAGTGATGGAAGAATGAACGAACAAATGAAAGAACAAGCCCTTGGACATGAAAAGGTTCACACGAAGCAGAAGGCGTTCTGAGGAGCAAGCAGAACCTTCCAGCCAGGCACCTGGGAATTACTCAAGCTGAGTGTGGCTTCTGGAAGCAGGTTCTTGGCCACTTGTGTCAGGGATGGTTGCTCATGCAGGGAACTGGCCCCACGGGCCTCGAGGACCCCTGTACACAGACACGGAGAACCTTCCAGCTTAACTGACAAACAAAAACCAGTGGGACAGAAGGGCAGGACAGCAGAGGCCGAAGCATCAGCCCTGTCGTTGACCTGCTGTGTGACCTCCAGAAAGGTCATTCCCTGCTGGTGCCTGTTTCCAGTGTTCACATGATCACCCTGCAAATTTTACACATCTAAGACTAACATACTTTACATGTATGTGAGCCAGGCTCTTATGGGGCTGGGGATTTCTGTAAGACCTTGCTGCTGGGCATATTCAGGACTCCTCCGGGGCACTCATTTTCTATTGTATGACAAATCACCTTAGATTTAGCACTTGTAAAGCACACTTTTGTGACCCCACAGTTTCTGTGGGTCAGGAATCAGATACATCTGTCCAGAGTCACAGGACCAGAACCACGGTGTTGTCTGGAGTTCTGATCTCAAGGACATCAGCGTCCACAGCCAAGTTCATTTAGGTTTTAGCAGAATTCCCTTCTGAGGCTGGGTCCCCATTCCCTGCAGACGGTGGGCTGGGGTCCTCCTCTGCTCGGGGGGGCTGCCCTCAGGTCACAGCCCCTCTGGGGGACAGGAAAAGACCTGTGTCCAAATTCCAGCTGTGCTACGTAGGAAGCCAGTGAATGTGGGCAAGTCTCTGGACTCCCCCGACTCATTTCTGTCAACAGTGACAATGATGCTGTTAGGTTCACAGAGGGCTGTTGGTTTTGTGAAATAAGAGGCTGCAGAGCTTATTTCTTTCCCTTCCCATCATGCTGCCCATGAAATTTGTTATCGGGAATTTACAAGCAATTAGAAAATCTTTTCAATCACTAACTCAATCCAGCCTCCTGTATGACTTGTTGCCCACAAGAGAATAGAGGCGACCAGCGAAGTCCCTCCCTCTACTGCTGGCCAGAGAACCCCCTGACGAGCGGGGGAGGTCCCTGCAGGACCCCCCCTGCCACGCTGGCAGACCCCAGCCCCTCGCATCTGCTGCCAGCAGCGCCCACTAGTCAGGCCTCCCCAGCACACACATCCCCAGCGGCAGGCGTCTCGGCGGGCATCTCGTGCCCCTAATGCTTTGCGACAAGTGCTGCAGCTGGACAGTGCCTCAGAGAGCCAAGGAGCCCCAGGCCCCCCCAAGAGAGGCTCAGCAGGACCTCATCGGAAATTATAAAGCGAAACCACAGGCTGATGAAGACGGCAGAAATGCCTCCTTCCGCTCCACCCCGCACAACCAATTACCATCCAGCCAGCTGACTGGGGCCTGTTGGATTGATTTTTAATTTAAGAACCATTTCAAGTGTGTTTGTAAGCCCTTGAGTCAGAAGTCGGCCCCATGTGAATGCCGCTGTGGAAGAGGGGAGCCGGCTTGCATGGCCCCTGGCCTCCCTCGGGACCTGCACTTAGGAGTGAATGTCACCTGCCTTTCCCGGCCACGTGGGGTCTGCCCTTCCGTCCTGGCAGCCACGGGCATGGGGGAAAGCTCAGAGTAGAAAGGTCAAGCTCTCTGGGCTTGTTCCATTGGCAAAGCTGGTGAGGTGCCAACTCTCGCTCCAGGGAGCCCTGGGTGGGAGAGCCTCCTCTGTTTTCTGTACCTGGCACTTTGTGAGCTCAGGAGCCTGGTGTGAGCTGGGCTCAGCAGGCTGGTTCTGCTGGACTCTGTGGAGTCTAAAGTCCAGCCAGTGGGAGAATCGCAAGACTGGCTTCTTTGTGACACATGCCTCCTCCACTCCCTCTTGCCTTAACTCTGGTAAATGCATCCACATCATAGCAACTGCTCGCCTTGTTTATCCCCCAAATTTCAAAGAATTTGCATGACAGCTTCTCTCTGGAAGCACCGATTCCAGCCCCCACCCCATATTGCAGATGGTGAAACTCAGATAAAGCTGAGATCGGTCCAAACCCCCGATTCTCAGAGCCCGAGAGAGACCAGGGCCTCCCGAGGAGGCCAGACATGCATTTCAAGGGGGTGAGCCCTTGTGAACAGTGCCTCTTAGAAGAATCAGCTCCAGTCACCTTGATTAGCGGGTCTTCGAAAGTGTGGGTGGCAGAGGACTCTTGCCCCACAGATCATGCCCAATGATCCTCCATAGTGCAGGAGGAAGAGGACCAGGGGTACCAATTTGCAGGATTGCTGTGAGGAGCCTCTGGAAGCCAGGGAGAAAGCCATTGGTTCAGACCACTGCACCCATTTTCTTTTGTTTAGAAGCACAGAAATGCATGAAATTATTTCCCAGTAATTGTCCGCATAAAGTGGGCATTCTGGGCAGGAGACTACTGATGACATGCCTTGTGCTGGGCAGGGGAAAATGAAACAAGCTTTTGCTATTTCTTAACCATAGATTTTTTTTAAAGATACCTTTTTTTTAAGATTTATTTATTTATGCATCCAGAACTGGTGTACAGGCCAGAGTTCAGGGGTGGCAAGAGGCTTCACCAGAGACAGAGTGGGGAGCAGAATAGGCAGGTCAAGGAAGGACACTGCTGAGGGGAGCGGCGGGTGGGCAGGAGAGGTCTGCCTGGCCATGTGGGTCACCTCCAGAGCGGAGGTTGAACTCCCACTGCGGCTAGCTTGCAGTGCTGCACTCCATCCGCTGTGCCACCAGGGAGGGCCCATTCTTAACCACAGATTTTATGTACCGGTACCTCTAATGCCTTTGGCAGGGTGGGGAGAGAATCTTCATAGATTTCCCTTCAGACATTTCTACAAAGACTCCCTGTGTGAGAGCACCTTTTGTTTTTCCCCAGGTTCTATTCTCTACCCCCACTCTCCATCCTGGTTCATTGTGGTGCCTCGGGGGTAACCTTGCAACCTGGCTGAAGGCCTGAGGCCTTGAGGGCTCTGTGCATTGAAACCAGCGCCCCCTCCCCACCCCTATCCCCGGTCCCCAACTCTACACACCTCTGGGCTGAGTGCAAGAGCCCAATCCAGCCCGACATCTGGCACCTCCATTCCTTCATCAGGAAAAGGGGAGAACCAAGGCCATGCCTGGGGGTTGGGAGGGTTCTGGAAAGTGTTTAGTCCACAGTCCTGCGTCCTTACTGCTTGTCGCCATGTGCCTGTCAGCAGTGGCTTCCGTGGGCCTCGATCTTGGCTGTCTGGTCGCCACTTCCGGGCACCGGTGGGCTCCTTTACACCTTTGCTGAGAGAAAAGGACAGGTGCAAGGGTTTTGAGCTGGAGGGGGCCGTTTAGACCACTTAATGTAATCTCCCTCGCCCGCCACACATGCCCTTGACAGGAGACACTGTGACTCTGTCTAGTCACTGACTCACATGGAAGCAAAGACAAGAACCAGCAGGGCCAGCCGGTTCGTGCCCACTTCCCAGAGAAAGGTGCTGAGGTCTGCTGGCCAACCCCGCCGTGCTGAGGGCGTGGGGCAAGGGCCTGCAACTGCTGGACCTCGTGTCCGGGGAGCAAAACGCCCCACCCAGGAGGCCAGCAGGTGCCAGTGGACACGCGGGGCCACGAGTCCGCCCTCTGTCTTCCAGGCTCCAGATGCTGGAGGCCATCTGCAAGCACTGGGAGGGGCCCATCAGCCTGGCCCTCTACCTGTCCGACGCCGAGGCCCAGCAGTTTCTCCGCTACGCTCAGGGCTCCGAGGTGCTCATGAGTCGCCACAACGTGGCCTACCACATCGTGTACAAGGAGGGCCAGTTCTACCCCGTCAACCTGCTGCGCAACGTGGCCATGAAGCACGTGGCCACGCCCTACATGTTCCTGTCCGACATTGACTTCCTGCCCATGTATGGGCTCTATGAGTACCTCAGGTGAGTGCCTCGGGGGGCCGGCCTCTGCAGAGGCAAGGCCAGGCCCTCAGCGGCGTCTTCTCATTCCACACTTTGCTTCTCGTCGTTTTAATCTATTCTTCGTTAACAGATTTTCCCTCCTGTTTTGAGCGAAGTAGCACTGATGGACCCTGTAACATAGCTTTCAGGCACCTGTGTGTAAGGCAGGAGTGTTCTGTCCACTGTGAAGAGCGTCTCTCGTGTTATCTAGGAGCTAAGCCTCAGTGCCTCCCTTGTGAGTGGTCCCGGGGCGCATAACCCTCAGTCTGGGAGGAGGGAGGTAACATCCCAGGGAGCACCAGCCATGGTACAGGGCACAGTGAGCCCCAACTCCTAATGCCAGGAATGCATCAGTCTAGCTCTGGCTCCAGCTGCACCTTGAAATTCCAGTGTGTGTGGTGAGGGTGCCCCCGTGTGGCCAGACAGGACGTTCAGCCCCGTTCCCGTGGATTCGAAAGCCCTAGGTCTTGCTGGGTAACAGGCTCTGGGGGTCAGGGAAGGTTCCCAAAGGAATCAGTGGAGGGGGTGAGGGGCCACCCTCAGCTGACCCAGGAAGACACTGGGGTTTGGACCGCAGTCCCTCCTCCACCCTCCCAGGGCCCTTCCTTCCAGTTCTGTGAAGATGAACTATCTTAAAAGTCTGTCATCTCTGCTTCCCTGATGTAGACTATTTTATTTTGCATCGTGAGCGTCATGTTTTGAGACACATTGCCTGTAAACAGACTGCATTTTTGCCCTTTCCTATATTCTGTTGATCTACGACATCGTAAATACCCAGTCCGCTTTCCCGAGTGCTGCCCAGGAATTCACACCCTGCCAATGCAGAGCTTCCTGGGGTTTGAGTTGGGTGGCCACCTTCTCAGAGGACAGAGGGAGGCTCCCCTGAACCCCTCAGGGGGGCTGATAGAATGTAAATTGCCCTTAAAACTCCATCACTTTCTCCACAAACCCTTAACACATCCAGGGACCCTGAACTCAGTGGAAAGGATCTTTCTCGGTCCCTTTTTGGTTAACTCGTGGGAACAAGGCCAGAAACAGTGACTGGCCCATGTGGATTGAACGTGTGATCCTGGTGTTCTGTCCCCTCCACCCTTAGAACCCATTCAACCTTTCGTTTACTTAGTGGGTGAACATCTGAAAGGCACCTGTGTGTACCCTCTGTGAGCCACACAAGGAGGTGTGGAGAGCCCAGAGCTTATAGCAGCAAAACAGCTAAAGACACACATGCAATAGAAAACTCTTCAGGTACATGTTTGGGAGGTCCTGGTACCACGGACCCACACTAACAGGGTCCTGAGCAGGAGATAGCCAGAAACAGTGGTTGTGTTCCAGGCAGAGGGAGTTACCCACCCAGAGAGGCAGGGGGACCAGAACCCTGATGCTCAGGACAGCAAGAGATGATGTGCCCGAACTGTAAGCCTGGTTGGTTCCTGCAGGTCTGCTCATAAAACTTGCTAAGGGGCTTGGATTTTAGGAGGCAGGCAGGCAAGCAATGGAAATCACTGAGAAACTGACATGATCGATTGCACTTAAGAATGAGCGTTCTGGTTGCACCCTGGCGGGATCACAGTCAGTAAGACCAGAGGGAGGGAGATGAGTTACAGGACATTTGTGTTCCTCCATGTGATGGATGCTAGAGGCCTGGAGGAGGATCAGAAGAAGCAGTGGAGACAGGCAGACGGCCGGACAGAGACTGCAGCTGAATTCAGTGATAGTCTGGCAAGGTGTCTGGACTTTGAAAGAGAAGACAAGGGACCGCTTTCCAATGCTGCTACCTGAAGCTGCCTTCTCAAAGCTGAACAACACAGGAGCCCTCCTGCTTTGGGCTGGTTCTTATGCTGACTCCATCTTGGTCCAGCTGGAAGGAGCAGGATGCCAAGGCTGACTTTGAGCATAGTGGGGTTGGCATTAGGAGACCTGCAGCCCTGGATGCAGCTCACACCCTGTGCTTAGCCAACTTCACAATCTCTAGCAACTCTCTGGTTTCAGCATGTCCTGTCATTGTGAAATGTGGAAGGGGACTTACACCAGCAGTCACACACTCAGATGCCCACAGGGACCACCAGAGGCCTGAAAGAGCCAGGAGTGCTGACTCTGATTCATGGGGGGCCACAGTCCCCATCTCAGGCAGCGGACGCCTCTCCACGCCTATTGTGGAATTGCTGCTCAGGGCAGGGTGAGGTCTTCCTATTTTTCAAAAGGTGCTGGAAATACGGATTTTTGTGTGTTAATTTTTCCCATTAACCAATCTTCAGTTTGGATAGATCTTTCCCACTCCAGCCTAGAGTACCAGTGTGTGACCTCTGACCTCAGCAAGACCTTGACACCAGCTATGTGCCTGAGAAGCCCCCAGTAAGCATGCACTGACCTTTGCCTGTGAAGATAAGCATATCAGCTTGCCAGTGGCTTAAGGAGAGTCTTACCCAGTGAGTGGGAGGAACTTGTTTCTGGTCCAGCTTCATGTGTGATGTTACATGATTGGTTTAGGATGAGGCTGAAGGGCCTATCTGTCATGGTCACTATGGACCCTAAGGCCAGCAAACCCTCTACAGACCAACAATTTCTGCATGGACATCCAGCCAAATGCTCCTTCCAAGCTGTTAAATATTAATATGAAAATGGATGAGGGTTGCGGTTTATGGAGCTCTTAAGCCTGTGCCCGACTCCCTGCCAGCTACTTGGTATCCATCAGCTCTGTCTGCCACACTTCCCTACCAGGTATTGCTACAGCTGACCACCTGGGACCCAGCGAGGTTAAATGCCAGTGTCAGAGGAGGTCCGCACCCCGCCCCCCACTACCGCCCGCTCACCTGTGGCTGGAACCACATCACCAGAGCAGGCGGATGGCGGTCCTCTGGCGGGTCCCCCAAACACTCACATCACCCCTTTTAGGGGTCCTACTCGGTGAGCAAAAAAAGTTCAGTATCACAGCACCCTGAACAGTTGCTTAGCAACCAGCTAATATTACAGCAAAAAACAAACAGATCACTTGCAAATAATGAAATCAGTTATGTGCACGGACATGGCTGCAGAGTTTCTCTTAAGAGCTCTCTCCCGCCCCTCTACCTGTTTCTGTTAAAGAATGCATTTGTGGATGTGCCGTTTACACTCCTGACTTCAGAAGAGTCAGAGGAAAGTCAGCGTGGCTTGGCACAGGGCGTGGAGATCTGCCTCGCGCTCCAGGCCCTGCCCACTCACCAGATGTGTGACTTAGAGGCTCACTTGGTCCCACAGCTGCCCCCTTGGCTTGTTTCTTCCATGTGTGGAGGGACTAGAAACAGCCTCTGGTACGCATATGGCCGGTTCCATACAGGAGTGACTGTCCTGTTCTTTGGCCCATAAAGTCTTGAACTTCTCTGCCAGGCCACATCCCCACCCCAACCATTGCAGATTCCGCCACCTCCAGCACAGTCTGGACAACTTCAGATAAACACCTCATTTTTTTTTTAAATGGAGTGAGAAACTATTTACTCATTCATTCATTTCAAAAACATCTAACAAGCACCTACTATGTGCACTGTGTATAGTAGCCAATAACTGAAAACTACCTAAGTGCCCATCAGCAAATGACTAGATAAAGATCATGTGGTATATACGTGTTGGAGTACTACTTAGCTGTGAAAAAGATAAAACTTTGCCATTTGCCACAACATGGATGGACCCAAAGGGTCCAGTTATACTTAGTGATATAAGCCAGACAAGGAAAGACAACTCATTTCTCTCATGTGTGGGATGAGTGAAATCTCTTTTGCAAATTCACCCAGATGAAATCAATAAAACAAAAACAAATTTAAAGTAAATAAAGCAGCCTCGCACCCCTGGAATTAAATACATTTCATGCATCCCTACCATGTGCTAGGTAGCACGCTGCATTGACCATTGACGGTGTTTGTTCCCTGGCATCCGTCAGACCTGCATTGCAGTGCTGAGTAAATACCTCAATATTTACTTGACCTCAGGGAAGATACTTAACCGCTCACTCTCTTTATCTGTGAAATGGAGATCACATTATTTCTTACCTCTTGAGGTCCTAGGAAGATGAGATATAATAGTATTTGGAAAGCACCTAGCACAACGCCTAGAACATTCTTCATTCCATGAATATGCAGTGGCTGAGCCCCAGGGCCAGTGAAAATAACAGATCAGATCACCCTCATGGGGTTTCCTTTCTAGAAGGTGCCTGTAGGTGCTACCACTGAGATGAGAGATGGAAGATACGGAGGCTCAGACTCGCAAGAAGAAGGATCCAATGTGAGTGGGTAGAGAGGCCTCACAAAGAGGTAGAAGTGGAGTTTAGGCTTGAATGATTGATAGGTGTGAACAGTGACATGTTCAAGGAATTTTCCAGAATGATAAGAGGTGGGGCCCTAGGTAAGCGGGGGGCTTCCCTCAATGGAGACTGCCCCCATCCATGGGCAGGTTTCACTCCTCTTTGATTAACCCTGCAGCATCCTTCTCTTTGTCCAGTGCCTGGAGCTTAAAATATTTCCACTTTGCAAACATTTCCTTTGCTTCTAGGGGACCATGCTGTCACTCCGGGCAGAGATTATATTCTGCCAGTGTACAAGGGGCAAGTGCCAGCCTTTGCATTGTCTGCAGGATGACATCTCACCACCCTCTCCCTAGCACCTAATGGCTGCCCTGTAAATTTGGAGAGAAGAAATTGGAACAAGGCCAGGTAGAGATGGCGCCGAGGGAGGCTGCTGGCTGCTTGTCAGGAAACATGACTAGAAAATGTGACCTTGGGTCCACTCAATCCTTTCAGCCCTACTCCAGCTGCAACAGTGAACATTTATTGAGCACTTACTATGTGCCAAGCTGTGTTACAAATACTCTTGCAGGTATTTTGTCTTTGTCATTAACCTCCTCACAATGCATTTTACAGATGAGAATATTAGACTGAGTCATAAGCCCCTGAGTCCAGCATTGTTAAGTGGATAACTGACTTGTTCTGGGTTTAACCAGAGGCATGCAAGGCTTAA